CACTCAGTTCAGCTGGGGGTTATAAGTTGACCACCAGTTATCAATCCACTACAGTAATACAGTCACCTATTTTAGCATTTCCTTTTGGGGGAAGCAATTGATATCAGGGGAAGGGATAGAAGATTTTTATGCGTTATATTATACCAAGAGGTAAAACATAAACTAAGAGACAAATCAATGTTTTAAGATTAGCTGAATAATTTTTATCACAAAACATGACAGCTAGAGTCTTTGCAGAAAATACAGGGACTATAGAGAAAAGTGAAGTGAATTTTACAATTTTGAAAAAGTCTTAGGAAAATGGAACTTATCAACTGTAAGAGTGTTAAACTGCAAACTTGAAAAAGGACTGGTTTGCTTGGGTTTTTGTTTCCATTTTGGTTTGGGTTTTTTGCAGAAAACCCCTCTCAGGGAGATCCCTTTGATATTAAAGGCAGTGAACCTGGCATGATGGTTCTTTAATCCCCAGCAATCTTAGAGACTGAAGCAAGAGAATCACAAGTTCAAGCCCAGCCTGGGAAATTTAGAGAGACCTTCTTTCAAACTAAACAATTAAAAAAAAGGGGCTGAGAATGTAGCCTAATGTGAAGCCTCTGTGTTTAATTCCCAGTATTGCAGGAAGAAAGAAAGAAGAAAGAAAAGAGAGGAAGAAGAAAAAAGAAAGGAAGGAAGGAAAGAAAGAAAGGATAGAGAAAGAAAAAAGAGGAAAAAGATGCAAGAAGGAAGAAAAGAAAAAGAACCAAAAGAAAAAGAAGCAAAGGAAAGAGAAGTAGTTTAAGAGGAAGCATGCATGTACTTTGGAATCAAAGAGAGCTATGCCAAATCCTTCCTGCACTACTTACTGTGAACTCAGGACAACATACTCAATCAGGAAAGCCTTAGTTTTGTCACTTGTAAAATAAGGAGTACAACAAAACTTGATCATTGTAAAACTTAATGTAGACCATGTATAAAAAGGGCTTAGTCCATTGGCTGGTGTAAGATAAGCACAGAAAAAGTGTTAGCTACTTATAGATGTGGTAGACTAGTAGGTAGGACTGCTAGTTCTAGGACTACTACTGTTGTTCAAAATAGCCTTTATATCTCCCAACTGTATTGAATTAAACCCTGGCCAAGTGGCTTCCACCCAAAAGCACCTTAAGAGCCAGCTTGTGGCTCACTATGTTTCTCTCCGATCTCTCCTATGACACTATCAACAGGAACTTTCTTCCACAGCTTACATCTTGGAGCCAAGATAGGCATGGAACAGTAAGCCAACCTACAAAAATTAGGATGTGTGGCAGGAGAGGGAAAAAAACTGTGTTGGTATAACACACGGAGATGTGGGATCATTTGTTACTGCAGTTAAACCTAAGCTACCTGACAGATATATCCACTTTCCTTCTTGGTTGCTGGACATGGAAGCACAGGCCTATACTCCCAGCCCACTAGCAGGCTGAAGCAGGAGGATGACAAGTTCAAGCCCAGCTGGGGCAATTTAATGACTTAGTGAGATTGTGTCTCAAAACAAAAGCATTAAAAGGGCTTGGGGATATAGTTCAGTGCAATAGCCCAAAGTTCAAGCCCTAGTATCACAAGTAATTAATAATAATAATAATAATAATAATAATAGTTCCTGAGCATGTATTTTGCTATGATTAGTCAGAGTTCTTAGTTGTAAACATCAGAAATGTCTCTACCTAGTTAAGCAGATGTGGATGGAGTTTATTGAAGAGTGTTTGGTATCTCCATCTTTGCATGGCCCAAAAGTGAAGTTTAGACTGCACATATAGAACATCCGATTATTTTGTGAGCCTGCTGTAGTGGAGACAGCACAACTAATGGCCCCGGGCCCAGCCTGAGTAGCTCATACTGTGTTTGGGCCTGGTCTGGAGGTTTTGACTGAATCCTCTACCATGTCTGCTTTTAGAAGCTGGACGTATCTGCCACCATCTCAGCCAGCTGGATCCCAGCAGGTGCCTGCATCAGAGGGTGAGAGCTGTGTCACAAGCCTGCAGTGATACACAAGGGAGCCTGAGAAAGTACACTCCCGGCTTCCACCTAGGGGAGATGCAAGGGCACAGACTAGAACCTCCCTCATCCCTAGCAAAAGTGCTCCAATATGAGGGTGGCAAAAGGAACTACATGCATCCACAATGCAGCACTCTTAAGAAAGGTACAGCTTGCTGATATAAGGTTGTGGGGTCCAAAACCATAGCCACTAGCCACATAACTATTTAAATCTAGTTTTAATTAAGTTAAATTAAAACTTCAGTTTCTCCACCTCCCTAACACATTCAAGTGCCTCAACTGCCACCCATCACCGGGGGCATGTACTGAACAGCACACTTACGAAACATTTCTGTCTCTGCAGAAAGTGCTTTAGGACAGCGCTGATAGAGAGAATTGCGTGTGATATTATTTGGAGCTAACTGGCTCAAGAAAGCCAGGACTCTGGCTCAGGGAGGAGCCAGGGTAGAGACTGAGACCCCAGTTTCCAATGACAACACCACCTCTTTTTGATCAGTCAGATCTTTTAGCTTTTTCAGAACTTGATTTCCATATCTGTCCGACGCAGGGGCATGGTAATTGTGATGGAATAAGTCCCCTTAGGCAGCCCCCAAACACAACTCCCGTAAATTGGCTCCTGCTGCCACTTGCCTGCGTAAAGCTCTGATTCGCAGGGTGATGTCTGGAGGAGGAATGGGGTGAGGGGCTGGATTTCCCTTCTACTGATGAACCCTCGAAGATTGCCACCTTGGCTGGAACCCTTTCTTTTTCAGACAGATACCTTCGACCCATGTCTCCAGCAGAGCTGCAATTATCCTTATTTTAGCCAAGTATGAGGAAGTTTCCGGATCAGCAGTTCAGTCTGATAAGGTTTACAGACTGAGCATTCCTAACCCAAGGGCCCTAAATCCAAAATCCTCCAAAATCCAAAACTTCTTGAGTGTCAACATAATGCTACAGTGGAAAATTCCACCCCATGAAACTTTATGTACAAAATTATCTTTAGGCACCATATATATAAGGAATCCATGCAAATACAAAATGAATTTTGTGTTTAGAATTTGTTCCATCCCTAGTATATCTTTACATATGTGCAAATATTCCAAAATCTGGGGGAAAACCTCAGAAAGCTGAAACACTTCTGGCCCTAATCATTTTGGGTAAGTGATATTCAACCTGTGTTATCAACCACTGCATCCAATTCTCCTGGTGCAGATTTTAGCCTTCAGTGTTGTTTGGCTTGTTTCACTCCCTTTTTCAAAATCAGGAGCCTGAAGGCCTCAGTTGTGCCCTCTCTTGCTAACTAATCTGGTGCCGGGTCCAGGGAAAGGTCTTCTTGGGCACAATGACCTGTTCCAACCCTGGAGACCCAAGGTCCTTTTTACTTTGAGTATCGGCTATCAACAAGGTCTCCAGATAATAACAAAAGGCAGTTCTTTCAGCTCAAACTCTGCAGCTCATCCTGAATCCATCCGTTCCCTTCCTGCCATAGGCACCACCACCTACAGGCCATCATTGTGTTTCACTGGGTCCAGTTCAATAAAATCCTTCACAAGTGTTTATTTTGTATCTATCCAAGCACCATGATTTTACCCTGTTTTGAAAATTATTGCTTAACGTACATTCCAGCCACTTGGTTGAAGCTGCATCCTATAACAGTTTGTCCTTCACTCGATTGCCAAAGTGGTCCCAGTCAAGTGGAAAAGGTACAGTGTGCTTCTCCTTGACTTTAAGACCTTCTCATAGCTTCCTGTTACCCTTAAAATAAAACTGAAAGTCACTATGCAGTTCCAGAGCTCATACAGGAGCCGTGTGCTGATCGCTTCCATCTCATCTCCTTGTATTTTTCTCCTCAATTTGAGCTTCAATGAAAAACTATACATTATCTAGACCCTCAAGGACATTCTCCCCAGGTATTTGATTCTGATTTTGCAAATGCTAGGTTATGAGCAGTGTAATGTGACAACACAAAATCATTCCTGGCTCTAGACATGCAAATCTGTCCTGTCCCATAAACATTGAAGGGACTTCCCTTTCCACCCATGAAGAAGTTGGGCTGTCCCATTTGTGCAAGATTTCGATATTCACTTACTCCATATAAATCCACGCAGCTGTGATTTCTCGTTTGAACGTCTCCCAGATTCTGTCACTGATTAATAATTTTTAATTTTTATTAACAAAATTACTGTACATATTCGTGTGGTACAGTGTGGTATTTCAACACAGTATATAATGTATGCCAATCTGTAATTAGCATTTACATGTCCTTATAATTACATTGTGCTTGGAGCCTTTGAGTGGCTCTCTTCTAGTTATTCAAAAAATACGTAATAGTTTATTGAGGAGTGTAGATACCCTACTGTGTTATTGAACACTGGAAATTATTACTTCTAACTACTTTGGTACCCATTGTCCAATCTCCCCTCATTCCCCTTCCCTCAATTCTTCTCAGCTACTGGTGATCACTGTTCTATTGTGATTGGCAGTTTTTAAACAACTCACTGGTTAATAAATTAACTAAGATTGAGAACAAGTATTTACTTGTGTCTGTGTGAGAGTCATACTCTTGTTCTTTTTTGAAAAAAACATCTTTTAACACTAATGCCAGTCACTTGGTTCTCTGCTCAAGTATTCTGGCTGATTCGCATCTTAGAATCTCTGTTTGTTTTGATTCAGAATGCTTACCTTTGGGAAAAGCCAGAAGTCACACAGTGCCAGAGCTGGTGAATGAGGTGGATGAGGACACACTGTAATGCTGTTGTTTGACATAAACCCTTTGATTGATTCAGGACCTTGAGGCAACCATGAAAAGACACATAAGAGAACTTCCAGAACTACTTCAGAAAGGGACAGGAGCAAAGGGATAAGTGTGTTGAAGTGAAAGGGAGTATTTTGAGGAGGATTAATATCAATGTATCTTTTACTATAATAAATTTTTTATTTTTAAAATTTTTAATGTAAATAACATTTTTCTACCACAGCTTGGCAACAGTTAAAACTAGGTTGGATATTAAACTTCTTCTAAATAAACACAGTGCAGATCAATTTCCTTTGCCTATTTTTAGGCTCTTCTCTTGTATCAGGTCATGTAAATTAAGAATAAGTATATTTGAGAACCTGAGGGAATCTTTGGGTTACAGTAATGTTAACTTCAGAGGACACCACTTGCAAAACATTCAAGAAAAGGAGTCTGTTATGGCTTATATCTTTATGTCCCCCCAAAGCTTTTGGGAGTGACTAGATCATGGGTGTGTGATACTGGGTTGATCCACTTCTTGGTTTAACATGGCTTTGTGTGTGGCTGAGTGTAGTTACAGAAGATGGAAGTCCCACTCTGAGTATGAGTGGCACCAAGTAATAGTCTTGTATCCTGGGTGGAATAAAAAGGCATTCCTGCTCCACCATGAACTGTTTCTCCTCTACCATGCCCCTCTGTTATGCTGCCCTGCCTTGGAGCCAGTTGACTATGGACTGAAATCTCTACAATGAGCCAAAATAAGCCTTCCTCCTTTAACTTGTGGGTGTGTGTTATGTTGTCCCAGCCACAAGAAATTAACTAACACAGGGTCTCAAAGCAGCTCCTTCCAAAAAAAATGATCAGTGACAGATCTATTCCTGGGAATATGGTACCAGATAGGGCAAGGTGACCTCAAAGCTCAAGGTCAGGAATCAACAGTCAAATGTCAGAACTTGAACTTGTTTTGTCTAGAAAGGTCATAAAAGGTGATGATTTCCCATGTGTTTATTGAGACATCATGTGCTAAGCACTTGGCAAGTATCGGCAGCACCTTGGACAATAGGAAGAATTTGAGTTCTGCCCCCAAGGAGCTTGCAGTCCTCACCAGTCCTTGCAAGTTGGAGATGTGAGTGCTGGTTCCGAACACCCTATAGCACACTGCACAGCCTCAGCCTGGGGAGTCTGAAAGGTTTGTCGAGGGGAAGGTAAGATTTGAGGGAGGAGGGAGGAGGTAAGATTCAGGCTCGGAGGATGGCAGAACAGACAGAACTGCATCAGTGAAGCTGTGGAGAGCACAGGACACCAGACTGGAGTGAACAGAATGTGATAAGAGATTGATGAGAGAGCCTGGGCAGAGATGACGTAGTGGGGGAGGTCTGAGAAAGGCGGGTGCTGAGCATGAACCCAGCAGAGTTAGGTTGGAGGGAGGGGCAGTGCCATATAGCATGAATCTATTTTGTTTTGTTTTGTTGTAGGCGGGCAGGGTCTCACTAAACTGCCCATGCTGACATTGAACTCATGATCCTACTGCCTTAACCTCCTGAGTGTTGGGATTACGGACATGCACCACGATGCCCAACTAGAACAAATCTTCTGTGAGCCAGAGTGTGTCCAGCTTGAATTCCTGAACCTTCTCCACCCACACAGGCAAAGCAAGTACTTTGTAATCTGCAATTTTCTTTGGTCTCAAGTTTCCACCTATTCTGTCCTTTGTCTCCCGTTCCTGCCTGGCAGCACTTGCTTCTTCCATGGCAGATTATTTGGCAGTTAACAGCACAGGCTCTGAGACCAAGTGCTCTGTGGATTTGAATCTAGGGTGTGTCATTGTCTTCCTGAGCCTAGGTAAGAATTTCAAACTCTCTGACTTTCAGTCACCGAAGGTCAAAGATGAGCCAAATAGCTTTAACTCAAAGAAGTTGGGGAGCCTGAGTAAGACAAGTAAGTCTGTGAAGAATTTAGTCAGGGGGTAGCAGCAGGCGGTGTTTAGTATGTCAGGACTGTTGGCCAGTTTTACCATAGCTTGGTTCTTCCTTATGCTTTATCCTCTCTCTGACCCTCTTCAGGGAAATTATGTTAGATGTCATGGAAATTTAGGCCTCTGAATTTGAAATTCCAGTCCTGGTAATGGGCAGTGAATAACTTGTATCCTACCTCACTCAGGACAAAATGATGAAGGGTATGTGAGACAGTTCTCCCTGAAGTCTCCATAGGACAATAGATCTGCAGCTTCATCCTTCATAATTACCCCATGGCCTTTTATTCCTGGGCCTCTACTCTGGGTGCACAGGTGCTTCAGAACTAAGTCAGCAGGTATGACAGAAAAGAGTTCATTTTAATCTGAGTTGTCTAAAAATATTTGTGATGATAAAAGGACATTGGCAGATGAGATAGGGAGAGGTTTGATGAAAGAGGAGTTTCACATTTGGAAAACAGCTTGATGGGGTGGGGGAACTGACATTAATTTTAATTTCAAAGTGAAGGCTAGAATTTAATATGCTGTAAAGCCATCTTTTGCTCCCCAGCAAGCACATTGAATAGGACTAGCTGTGTTGCTAGAAAGGGAAACATATGGTCATGTTCCCACTCAGAAAAACCTGGTGGCCAAGACAAACAAATGTGAACATTATATCTGCAAGTAATATGTGAGGGCTTGTACTTTTATTCTTCTTCACATGCTTATGATTCTCAAATAGAATGTAAATGCTACAGTCCTGCATTTTTTCCAAGTGTTCAGCCTGAGTGAACTTTTTCCCCTTCCTAAGTATTCATGTTATTTTCATGTCTAAGTTTCCTTCAGTGATAGTGCAGGACTAAACCCACGTACTAATGAATTTAGTTGAGTATCACTGTTCCCATGAATAAAAGGAATAAATAAAATGATACATTTACATACATGTTTATTTTCACACTGTCTTAAAAGAATATATTTATATGCATGTTTATTTTCATGCTTTCATACATAGGATGTAATTTTTCTTTGACAATGGGAAGCTGAGGAAGAAATGAAGGTCACTGGTTAGATTTGGGTTTTTTTCAGAAACAAGGAAAGGGGCATATAGGAAGTGCCCCTGAGCCTACCACGGTCACTTTTTGCCATTAGAGCTATCAATAACCACACATTTGCTGCTGTTGTGTTGAAAAGGAACCAAGGTCTCCACCCCAGGGGCTTTTTTTCTCTCTACAGTCAACATGGCCCTGAACCTCACTTCTTGGGTCATTTCCAGTAGAATTCTGGTCCCCTGTGGTGGCTTCTGGGATGCATCATAAATTCTCTGCACCAACATTTTCTTATCTGTAAAACAAAATGAGAAATGAATTGACTCCCTTGTTTGTTTCAGTCTTAAGTTCAATTTTACATGATGCCTTTTGCTTACTTGGGTATAAAAAAATACATTTGACTGTCATTTGAACCAGAATTGGAAGGTTAGTACCAAGGAAAACTTTTATGTTACATTATTTTATTTTAGATGCCATGAAAATTTCCAACAAGTAAGCAGTGATGATATAAGTCATGGTATAGCAACAGTTTACCATTTAGGAAGAGTTTTAGGGGTCTGGTAGAATATCCTAAAATTTTTGACCTCTTTTTGCCCCCTCCTTGTTTTTGCCCCCCTCCTTTTTTTTTGAATGAAGTGGAATTGTCTTGGACCACACATATAAAATAGTTAGTATAGATAAGTAACAAAAGTGCCTTTTCTTATTTTATATTTTTATATTACTTATAAATTATTTATATTATAAAAATAAAAAGGCAGGCTATAGGTTGGACCCCTCTGCTGAGGTAATATTAAATAAGGGGGACACTGAGAAATTTCTTTGCATGTATAGAATCAGAGCAATGAGGGAAATTCGAGAAAAAAATCACTGACCACATTTTAATATGGTTGCCTTTTGTAGGTAGCATTACAGCTAAATTCTTTGTTCTATGTTTATTTTTCTATACTATTCTATATGCAAATATTCTTTTTCATATATTGTGTGTTCCTATGAGGAGCATGTTCTTTTCTCTCATCAGAGGTGAGTGCTTGGAACACTCTACCTCACTGTGGATGATAGATTTCTATGTCTGGGGTCTACAGTTCCTTGTGACAAATGGCAGGAATCTGAAAAATAGCCAGCTGGCTTGGAGATATAACCTGTGGTCACCAAGCGGAGCACAGTCCTCTCAACTCAGCAGCTATTGAATCCCTATTCTTGGTATTATTAGAGCCATGTGCCCCTCAAAGGAACTAGCCATCCATAAACAATGTTCAAGCTATTAAAACTGAATAGATCTCCCTCATCTAGGAACAGGTCATTGACCCTGTGGGTGGTTAGGTAGCAATACAGGTGTCTCAAAGATCTTATTTATGACACAATACCCTTCCATTTGTGATGAAGAACAAACCGTGCCACAATGAAGTGCCAATCAGCATTTATTATATGTGCACATTGGGCCAAGCTCTGTGCTAATTACTGAGACTATGGGATGAATAGGACTCAGCTTTGCTTATCAAGGAACTCACAGTCTGCTACTTGATTCAAACATAGAAAAAATAATTATTGTACAGTGTGAGGCAGGGGATGGTGGAAACAAATATAAAGAATTACAAGAGCTCAGAGGGGAACCTCTAAATTAGCAGGAGATCCCAGACAGTGTAGGAATTCTCCTTGGAGGGAGCTGAGCTGCATAGGATTTGGGGGAAAGGGAAGTACACCAGGCAGAGGGAGCAAAACAAACAAAGCCTGAGAAGAAGGAGACTGTGACCCAACCTATTATGCAGCTTTGCTGCAGCTTAAAAGCAGGAGGCAAAGAGAAGTGAGCAAAGAGAAGTGAGCAATGAGAACAGAGAACTCAGTTCGTGCAGGGCCACGTGTGTCCTGTGAAGAGAGAGGTCCAGGCCAGGGACAGGCAAGTAGGTGCTTCAGGCCTTATCTGGCACACCACTGGTTTTCGTAGGTGAACTGAAATGGCTTTACTATTTTAAATAGTCATTACTAAATGTTTACATAGGTACTTACATAATATCTTCGGTTTTGCCTCTTGGTCTATAAAGCTACAATATTTACTATTTGGCCTTTTAAGACAGAGCTTTACCCACCTTGGACTAGACTACACCCTGAAGATCACAGGGAGCCATAGAAGGACAGGAGCTTGGGTGAGCTTGGAAAATGTGACTGCATACAGGGTGATAGCTGGGGAGGCCACTGAAGTGAGAGACAAAACTCCTTGCTTTAAGGAGCAGTAGGGAAGGTGGAAATGGGTTTCTGAGGAAGCTCCTGAGCTCAAGTTTGGATACGTTACCCCCGGAATGCATGTGGAATGTGCTTGGAGAAGGCCCGCAGCCACTGGATCTGGAGGTCTGAAGTGATTTCCAGAGAGGCCAGGCTGGAGAGCATCAACACACAGGCGGGGCCTAGAGACACATGAGTGGATAAGATCACCAGACCGCGTGTGTGGAAGAGGTGAGAAGGTCAGAGGGCTGAGGGAAAGACTTTGGGGACCACAATGCCAAGTGCCAGAAAAGGATGAAGAAGTCACAGACAGGCCAACAAATGAGAGGGCAAAGCAGTAGGACAGCCAAGCACATTTTAAAAACTTGCGAGAAGGCGAGCGAATCAACACATGCTTCCAAAGCAGCAAAGGAGTTAAAGACTGAACAAACATCCTTTGGATTTGACAGTGGGATGGTATTTCAAATTTACAGAATTTCTGTGAAGTCTAAGGGAAAAGACTGGATGAAATTTCCCTCTAAAATTTCTGCCTGGGTTCCTGAAGTTACTTGTTGATCTTGAGGTGTACAGAGGGAACGGATTATTCATGGTCATTTGTAAGGCATGTTTGAAGAATACCACAAAAAGTACTGAAGCAACCTGGATTAGCAAGTGGATCAAGAGCTTGCATCATTATCTTGGGATTAGTGTCAAAGTATTGTCCTCGTAAATGTGATAAACTCCTCATAGAAAGCTAACATGACTTACCTAAAGCACAATTTAAAAATACAACTTCAAAACAAAATAAACAGATGGTAGAAACAAGAAGGCTAATAAACAACTTATGTGCTACCACCAGTAAGGGAACCAACCACAGTTAAGAACCCAATAATAAGTTAGGCTGAAAAGAATTATTCAGAAAGCAAACTGGAAAGGAAGGAGCTTGGAAAACTAACAAGTAGGGTAATTTTTGAAGAGGTTTATATTTTTTTTGCTTGCCCAAAATCCCATCCAGAAATAAACCCTAAATATTCCCCCTGAGGAGCCACCCTTCACTCAGTCCAAGAAAAACAGATGCCATTTGTAGCACCAGGTAGAAATGCTCATCTTGCAGCCAAGGTGACCCCTCGGCCACAGTGATTGGTTCAGGGATGAGCTTGAGATCTTAGTGTGAGTCAACGAGAATCAGGCTTGGGTTTTTCCCCCAGAAAAATTGGAAAATGGCCCTCTCTCAGCACTGGGAATGTTAGGCTAATATAATAGATGCAAGGAGCCACCTCTGCTGGCTCAATTTTTTCTGTA